TCACCTGGGCCGCCTCCCTCAGGCGATAACAAACGTCCTCCGCCAGCAGCGCCGCCCCCTCCTCGCTCAGCTCCGCCCCGGCGCCCTCCGCCATCCGCCGCACCGCCTCCCGCGGCAGCTCCGCGAACCGCCGCTCCTCCGCCATCATGGCCGCCTCCACCGCCGACACCGGAGCTCCGCCCGCTTCGCCGCACGCCATTGGACCGCCCTGCCAGAGTCCCGCCCCCTCCGCCCCTTCGCCATTGGGCCTCCGCGCTAAGGTCCCGCCCCCTACGCCGAACACCGCTACTGCGCTATTGGCTCGCCCCCGAAGGCCCTTCCGCCGCTGACCCCCCCCCCCCCCCTTCCCCCTCTCTGCCCTTGGTCCGCATTGCGATTGCCCCGCCCCTTCGCCACGCTCCCCTGCTATTGGCTAGGCTCTGTTATGATCCCGCCCCTCGTTCGCCATTGGTAGGAATCCGGGGCTGGGAGATCCTGGAAGGTCACAAACTGGGACGGCAGGGGCGAGGATACGCCTTGGAAAGGTCCTTGAAGATCAGACAGGCATGGATTGGAGGAGGTTGAAAAGGTCCTTAAAGATCACAGAAGGATGGGATGGGTTAAAACGGTCCTGACAGATCACGGAAAGGCTTGGAAGGGTCCTTAAAGGTCAAAGGAACATCAAATGAGTGGGGGGGGGGGGGGCGGGAAGGGACCTTGAAGGCCACAGGAGCATTAAATGTGTTGTAAAGGTCCTCGCAGGTCACAAAATGACAAAACGAGACGAGGTGGAGAAATCTTACAAGGCACAACAGATTGAAAAGGTCCTCGAAGATCACAGGAGCACGGATGGGGTACGAAGGGTTCTTAAAGCTGCAGCTTTTTGCCCTGAAAACCCCTTTTTGCCCTTTTTTGCTCCTTGCCAGGCCCAGACCACGCAACACCGCTCCAAACATCACTCATTTATTGCCCCACTCCTCCACCCCCATCCTCCTCCGCGCCATCGGGGGCAGAAAAACCCTTAAAAAATGGAAAAAATCCCTAAAAAGTGGCCCAGGCCCTGGGATGGGGGTCAGGCGGAGCAGCGCCCGCTGTCCCCCCGCTGTCAGCCGGACGTCGGCGTCAAAACGGAGCAGCGGCTCCGGGGGTCGAGAGGCGCCATTTTGCTCCAAGATGGCGGCTGTCACCTTCTGCTCCAAGTCCAGGTCCTCGGGGGAACCGCTGGGGTCCTGGAGCTCGTTGGGGTCCTGGAGCTCGTTGGGGTCCTCGTCCCCACAGGACCCATCGGTGTCCCCACTTCGGAGCTCATGCCTGTCCTCAGCCCCATGGAACCCACTGCTGTCCCCATCCCCACATTGGATGCCACCGGTGCCCCCATGGAGCTCACTGGTGCCACCAACCCCAAACTGGAGCCCACTGGTGTCCCCATGGACCCCGTTGGTGCCCCCATTCCCACCTCGGGACCCACTGGTGTCCCCATGGCCCCTACTGGACTCCCCATGGAGCCGACTGGTGCCAACCACCCCATGGAGCCCACTGGTGCCCCCAGCCTCACATTGGGGACCCCTCGTGTCCCCATGGCCCCTATTGGTGCCATCCCGGTGCTGCAGCTGACGGCGGAGGCGACGGCGCCCGGTCCACACGCGGTGCCACACGGCGCAGCTCCACCGCGCTGCTTCCTCCTCCTCCTCCTCCTCCTCCTCCTCATCCTCATTCACCCGCTGCCGTTTGGTGGCCAGGGCTGCGGCGCTGTTCATCCCTTTGGGTTGGGGACGTTTGGAACCCACGGGTGGGGGCAGCTCCGCTATGTTGGGATCCGTGCCTGAAACTTCCATGGGTTTGGGGTCTGAGAACTTGGGGTCCTCCTCCATGGGTTTGGGGTCCATTCCAGGAGCTCCCACGACTTTGGGGTCCTCCAGGACTTTGGGGTTTGTTCCAGGCGCTCCCAAACCTTTGGGGTCCTCCAAGACTTTGGGGTCCTCCAGGACTTTGGGGTCTGTCCCAGGAGCTCCCACGACTTTGGGGTCTTGCGATTTGGGCTCCTCCAAGCGTTCAGAGCCCTCCGAGAGCCCCTGGTCCGCCCCACTCTGCCCCCTGCCCCCCTCCCTCGGCCCCACAGCACAGCGCAGGACGTCCCTGAGCACAAAGAGGACGGCGGCGCGGATTTCCTTCAACCCGCCTCCGCCACCCAACGGGATGGGGATGAGGAAAGCGGAGGCGCCGCCGGCTCCCGGTTCCACGGCGCCGGGTTGGAAGAGACGCAGCAAACCCCAGGAGCGGCCCTTGGTGGATTTGTGGCTGTACTGAAGGCTGCGGCAATATTTGGCGGCCGCGCGGCAGCTCTGGCTCCAACGCAGGGCTGCTCTGGGGCTGACGTTGGAGGCGACGTTGTGGTCGAGTTCGAAGGGATCCGGGAGGGTGAGGGGGGTCCGTTTGAGGAGGGGGGCGGCAGCCGAGAGGGGGAGCGGGCGGCCGTGGCGAAGGGAGGGGAAGTGTGTGGAGAAGGGGAAGGAGGCGAAGAGGTGGAAGAATTCGGGCAGGAGGGAACCTGGAG